CCGGCCGGGAACCGGCTCCCCTCACAGCACCTCCCGCCCGCGGACAAGAAGCGCCCAGAGTCAACCCCAGCTTGTGGCTCAACCGGGCTTTTATTGCTCCGCTTCAAACGTTAGCGGTTCTGAGCACAACACGGAACGCGATCGTTCGGAAGCCGAAGCGCTGCAGTCCCCTCAAAAACGGCAGCGGCCTCTTCGTTCCCGCTGCCCAGGCTCAAACAGCACGGTCCTGCCCCGCGCGAAGGGAAGCGCCAGCTGGAGCACCTCGCTCCCAAGCTGGCGTCCGAGTTTAATACCAGACAACTCAAAGGCCCCAGCGAGCGCGACAACCGGAGTCCGTGTGAACACCGAAGGTGTTAAATCACTTCCAGCTCCCCGCGTGAAGGTGAGGAGATCAAGTCCGCCCCATCGCTTTTACTAGCAGTTTGTTGACGTCCTCATTTACAGGAAGGTTGTAGACATATATGTACACAGGAGCATTTCTGAAGTTCATCCTAAACATTAATCTGTAGTTTCTAATTTACTTATAATGCCATTACTTTTTAAAGTGTTCAATACGTTATCATAAGCCTTGGTATCTAGGTACCTTAACTCATCCAGTAATTTAATAATAGATTGTTTCTCTCCCAGTGTGTTTTTCCAGGCGAGAAGCATCTGATAAGACTGCTCTTCTATATCATTAGGAAAGTCATTAATAATTTTAACTATATCATTTTCCTGCAGATGAGCTCTCATAAGCTGCTTCCATTTTCTCCGTGGTACTTCATTTATAAAGGCCCCATAGCTATCTCTCAGTTCTGAAAGAAAAAAACACACAACACACATCAGCGTCAGTTTTAAAATACAGATTTTTTTTTTTTTCCCATAGCTAACATACATGCTTTCCCATTAATTTTCAGCCAATACATGCACAGACCAAACAGCAGCAGCAAGGCCAGGTTTAGCACCTAAGCAGCAGCAGGACCAATAGGTTTCCCACTGAGCGATCTTGAAAGAAGCCAAAGGTATCAGTCTACATATCTCAAAAGTAGTTTCTTAAGACGAGACACCATTCAGTAAAGGCGGTTTTGGGGAAGGTTTCATTGGCCTGCATGTCTTCACTTAAGCTTAATAGGGCCACTCAACAGGAGGCTATAACCACTTCAGTACGCTACTGGTATAGGTTTGCCACACCAAGACCAGCACGAGCAAAACCCGTCGCTTGGACATCCAGCACATCCAACGTGCTGCGTACCGGTAGATGTATGGGGATTCGATGCAGACTTCCATGTGAGCGGACATTTGACAGAAAGATCTCCTGGTCTGACCTACACCTCACTCATTAAGGCAGAGTACGCTGCTGCAATGCAGACTTGTTTAAAACATACCAAAAAATTTTGTACCATTCTTATTCTTAAAAGCATGACTGCGCTATACTCCTCTGCAGAAAAGCCATGCTTTAAAGTAGAACAATTCACCACAGGGATTACAACATCTCCCAAACGTAGCAATAATCCTGTTTCGGCATATTTTACAATAAACTGAAAGCCTTGTGGCCTAAGCAATATTCATTAGCCTCCCTACACTATTCCTTACATAGACTAAAGTCAACAGGAAAAAAACAAATTCCAAGTACTATCAATTTAGGGAATACTTACCTTTTGGAGAGAGATCTTTAACAATTATTTGACACTTTGGTTCTCGTACCTGTAATACAAAGTTGGACTGTTACTCCAACATATCAGAGCACTTCAATTATTCCTGAGCTACTTGATAGCTTGCTTCCACAGCACACATGCCAATAAGGGGGCAAGGGGCAGATTTCACAGCACAGCTGAAAGTATTTGAGTAAAGAAAATTGCATGCTGAAACAGCCATGCTGCTAACTCCGAAGTGAAGCAACAAGGCAACATATTTGCTGCTATTGCAAAAGAATAGCTTCTGTGTAAATGCTGAACAGGGAGATGAGAGAGGCAGAGCAGATTAAACCTGAGACTGAAGTTTGCTTTCCCAAGGTACCCCTTCTCATACTTTCTATTGCATCTTTAAGGCAAAGCCTCCTCTTCCCTATTGTTCTGCCTGAAAACAGCATCTATCACTCAAGGAATAGTTAAGAACTCAGCTAAAATTACATGTGTAGCAGAGCAAATACAATGATAATTTCACACACACACACACTTACCATGCAGTTTGCTGGCATCCTACCACCAGGTATATTAAATGGGGCATTCTGATTAAAAGCAGGATTCTGCCCAGTTTTTGCTGGTAGCGAAGACTCAGCGATCCTCCTCCAGCACCTTTCCATCTGGCGCAGGATGGTGCCCCACTCAGAAAGCACAACACTGTTTTCCTCTGGTGATGTGTTTTTTACTTCCAAGTTAACATTGGGTTGTGCTGGGCCCTCTGGGCTCTCACCAGAGTTCCCACCCTCTGGCTTGGCCGCATTATTTGCAGGTGTCTCCACTTCTGGTAAAATGAGGCTTTCAGTACTGTCCTCAGACTCCTGTAAGGAATAAGAACATATTTTAAGAGATGTTTCATAGGTAGGCCTTCAAGGACAGTCTGGAGGAAGAAAACAAAATACTTAAAGTCACCAGATGTCAGAGAAATAATGGAAGAGCTGCTAATTTGGCAGTTACAAACATACCAAAGTTACAGCCTTTATAGACTTGGACTTCAAATGGTTTCAGAGCCTAACTCTCCAATTTGCTGGCTATTCTGCTCCCACTGGTCTGTGGAATAAGGCGCACAGGCTACTTCCACAACAAACACAGGAAACTTTTCCTAATGTTTTCACTGGTGTGTACTGCTGCTTGCTCCTCCCTACACATGGAAGGTATGCACCCTTCCTGAGGCAGGAGAAAATTAAATTTCCTTGCTACACCTGAGCTGACTTAACAGCAACAGGGGCCTCAAGCCTATCATTGTATCCAGGCTGATGCTCTTGGAGCTTTTACCAAGCTGATAATAGCCTATCAGCTCCATGTAAGTGCACTAACTTGGGCTTTTTTTTTTTGGCTGGATTAGTTTTTCTGGCAGATTCACAAACTAGAATCAGTCGAAAGAAGCCAGTGAACACCAATGCACATTGCATAGCTTTTGTGAGGGGACAAAGAGGGAAGCAAGCGAGGAGGGCTGCACCATTTCTAGCATTGTCAATACATTAAACAAGCACATGCCAGGGAGTATAGCTCCAACTCATCAAGAACCATACACATACAAAGCAGACCACCATCTATCTAGCATATGAGCTAGTGCTAGAACTGGAAAGCTTTAGGAATTTATTTTTTTTTAAAGGTGGAAAATGAGGGCAAGGAGTGACTGTTTTTCCAACAAGACCTGTGTTTGTTAAGGTACAGTTCCTCCGTGAGCATAAGCCAGTGTGATTTCTGTTTTCACAAGGTCAGTGACCGATATGTGACCAACATGCGTAAGCAGGGATGTGAGGGGAACCACCCCATGCATCACACATGTAGTTGTACATCACCCTCATTGAATCCACTTTCTGTTTAAGGGTGCAAACAGGTTAAACAAGTTGATCCTATTTATACAGAATAGCTCTTAAATAGGTAACTGAGTGACTGAAGGTACACAGCATGGCTAATAGCTGAAGTTCTATTCTGGAATGAAATAAAGTATCAGCAGGTTTTGGGTTTTTTTTTTTTTTTTTTACAGCAGTATAAATTCACTGGTACTTTGGAAAGGACAGTGTGTTGGTGCCCAAATGCCTGGTCTCAGGATCACATCAATGTAACTCTCCTTAGCAGATAAGCTTTTTGTTACAGTAGCACAAACACTCCAAGTGCACAGACATTGCAACTGAAGTCTGTGACAACTCTTACATCAGAGCTGTCACTATGCGCTGATTTGCAACTGCATTATTCTATAACCATTTTATTCAAATTAAAGAGATGTTATGTTTGCCTACTCCCATGCTACACCATTTTGACCAGGTTTTGTCATGTTTCTTCATCAGCTTCTACGAACACATGAAGTGCTGCAAATCTGGCCAGGGCGTGGGGGGGACCACAACCCAACAAAAACCCATGGGCGATTCACATATTTGAGCCACTTACAGACCTTAAAAAAAAAAGAGAAGAGTTTAAGGTGATGTTTTTAACAGATCTTTCAATTCTGTTTCTTCAGTCTTCAAGTATTTGTGACATAATTAAGATGCATTTAATTACTTGAAATGTCTAACTAGTAAGATCGGACAAGAGCTCATACACCAGGTGAGCAGTGCATGCATTGGGTGGGGGACAAGAAATGCAGCAGGGAGAAAAAGATGCTGTACATGTGCTACGAAAGGAATCTGTACGCCTTTCTTAGATCCTCATCAAGATAAACATTTGTTTTACAGCTTGGTGTTACACATCAACTATACCATTAGTATAGTTAGTTATAGTATAGTAAGCTCATTTTTGCCTCACTGTATTGTTAGGAGTATAGCTTCTAAATAGAGAAGCTAAAGCTAGACTAGCTGAATACAAGCTAGTCTTGTATTTATCTTGCAAAACGCTAGACTACCAACAGTCTTTTTAGACTGAAACAGTAAGGTTCTGAAATAGTGTTTGACTACAGAAGGCCAGGGTGAACCTAGCTTTAAAGTGGAACATATGCCAGTAGCCAGCCTTAGCGTGGTAAACCCTTTTCAGGGATGTACTTGTGAGCTGGTCTGCTCTGAGCCCTGAACCCCTTTGTCTTATAGGAATGTCTAGGACCAAGAAGTTAGACTGCCAGGTCCTGCAGCTTGTGACACGAGCCCAAAGGCAGGAAGACTCAGTCACTTTGCTGGATCAAGAGAAGTAAGTCTTATGAACAAATAATGTTGTAGTAAAAAATGCAAGGACAGCTAGAACACCACTATGCAGGGAAGTGATAGCTGACATTGCCTGTGGAATATACACATGAAGCAGCAAAGAACCAATTGGATCAAGGCATCACTTGGAGACAGTTTGAAGCGAAAGCTTGCACTTAGCCTAATTTTTTTCAACTTCCAAAACATCCTGGCCACAGGCTCTGGAATGTGTCCAAGGGAAGTACTGGAAAGGCCAACTGCAATGGACACATGCAGCTAATGAATGTATCAGGCCCTCACTAACATCTGGCCCTGTATGAATCACAACTTGTTACATCACAGGAACACATCCTACCAGAGGTCTACAGTGAGACAAACATTGAGCTATGTATCAGGTACAGTTAAGCAGCGCACAATTAAGCTGCGCAAAACTGAGATGAAGCACTTGATCCATCATATACTTACCAGACCTTTCTCTGCATCTTTATCAATTGAAGCAGCTGGAAAACAAGATAAATGTCTTAAGAAAATTTTAGGAATTGCAGCAACTTAAACATAGCTGAATTCACACAAGACTTACATGCAGTAGACACATTCATAACACAAACCAAAGCTCTAATACGAGCCATTTAGTTCCTTGACCTGTCATACATTTCATGAGAGTACTACCCTTAGCTTCCACCAACAGCACAAACACTGTGCCTTCATACAGGGGATGATGAGTCCTGCTTAGTAAAATACAGACCACAAGATGCAGTTTGGCTTTTAAGCCACTCTTTCACCCTCCCTCCCCTCCAGCTTATGCTTCTTAGCATTTTTGTGTGCTATTGCAATACAGAAGAGAAGGCAGAAATTGTCTTTACTACAATACAATCAGTAAGACATGATTTGAACAAACATTCAAAATTTAGAATAATTTTCAACATTATTCTAACTAAACTAGTTGCAAAAACACTTTAATATGCAGTAATGGAAAGTTTCTCAGGAAAACATCTCAATTTCCACTAAAAAAAAATTAATTCACACAAGACTTATCAACCTAACATTCATGTTAAGAGGCTCAAATGATGAAAGGGCAACAATTTGTAGAAAGAGTCTCCATAGCCAAACACAGTGAATGAAAGTAGTTAATGGTCTAATTAGCTGCTACTTCTTGCCCCATACATCTGAGCTTGTGTAGGTTTTTCTCACTCTTTGCCAGTACAATGCAAGTAGATAGGGAAAGTCCTTTTAAGGACCTTACCCTAATCTTGCTTTGAAGCAAAGGCATCTGTCAGCAAAATAAGAAAGCTCATAGTTAAAGTTTGTGCATTTTATTTACTGAACAAAACTAGTCTCCATTATACAGGAGTTACTTAATTGAATCACATACTAAATGAGCTAGAGCTTAAACAGGTCCCCCATAAGGTAATACAAAAACCAGGGATAGCCTTAGTGCATGCTTTGCCTAGTTCTGGAAAGTTTATGGGTAGTAATCAAGCAGTTACCTTCATTACCCTTCAGCCTTCTAATTACAAAGAACAGCAACAAACCACCAACCACCAAAATAATCACAATAATCCAAACAAGAGCGGTGCTTCCTGGGAAGGAAAAATGAATAAAATTAGTACTGAAGAAGACTCCAGACAAGATATTCTGAAGTGCAAGTCTTCCCTGCTGTCCTAGAGAACAACCAAAGCTCAGCACTAGTACAATGACCCAGCTAGCTTGTCCTGGAAAAGGCACTGGGACTATCAGCTGACTTGAATGTGCATGTACTCCTTTGCACTGCACATCATTATCCCAAAGGCAGTGGGGGATTCTGCACAGAGCTGCAGTACAACTTCTGCAAGGCTTTCTGAAGAGACATTTAAGAAAAGGGGAAAGCAAATACACAAAAGGTGCCAATGAGCTTCAGGTGCTGTAGCCTTGGTAGTGTCAGTTCCTTCTTTCTCTAGTCCAGCAGAAGCTATCTACCAGCAGAAGAGAAAGCCACTCCATATGCAGCTTCTCAGCCATAGAAAACATGAAAGAAATCTTTGCACAATTGGTAATGTTCAACAGTGTCACTGTTGCAACTTTGAAAACCCAACAATACACGTAGCTTTTCTCCACGTGAAATTTAAGATGGTTTGTCACTCCAACCCCTTTGAGAACTTCTTTAGCAGACTAAAATACAGAAGCTCTTAAACATGCTACAGTGGTTCAAGCCACTGTTTTACAGACTGCTCTGGTGTTATTAGCCTGAAGCCACAGACCCAACAAACCAAGCTGAGTGGTATTTCTGTACCAGACCTTGATCGGGTAAGCCACATCCTAGGTCCATAGTTGCATTGCAATTCTGCACAATTTCTTTCCCTTCTGGACACCTGAAGTGGATGGCAACATAAGGTTGTATCAACATTTCCAGAACAATATGTAGCTCTGCCCAGGCCTGATTTTTTTTCAGGCAGAGCTTAGAGACGTGAACAGAACATGCATAAACAGATAACTGTGTTAGAAGTACACCTTTAAACAACCCAAGATAATACTACAAGATTAAATAGAAGCAAAGCAGATAAAGCTCATGTATGTTAGCCTCTAAGTGGCAGAGAAAAAAAAACCCACAGAATACATTATTCATGCACAGTTAGTTTCCTTCAACAGGTGGTTCTACCTCCAAAAATTTTGAACTGGTTGCTACAAAGCTCATTCAAATGTGTACGTGGGGAGTACTCATCTGAAGACATGCAAACTGTAAGCTTACAGCCATAAGCAACAAGCACAACAATACCACAATCCATATCTTTCTAGGTCTGAACCTCATGCATTTTGACACCTAAAATTTAAATGCATGAATAATGCAATTTGGCTTCAGGGCAATTATTTAGAGCCTAATAACATGCGTTAGGTATTGGCAGAGATCGGGCCATAGCTCTAACATTCCCTAGAAGGAACACAATCAATTATATTCATTATCAAACTTACATTGTACTACATCTCTGACATATTTCACAGCCCTCAGCAGGGCAGAAATATCCTTGTTTGCACTGGCATTCAGTATCATGCGTCAGAGTACAGGGTCGCAAAGTTATCTGATCTAAAAATAATATAAGTGACAAAGTAAATATAAAAGTTGTGACTCTCTACAACTGTGCAAAAATTATACTCAGGCCATAAAGGCAATTTATTTATAAGTTCAATATTCTCAATGACTGGAAGCACAAAAAAACCCAGAGGACCAGGCTTTCCACGTTAAAAAAAAGGGGAAAAGGGTTAAGGTTTCATCAAAGTTGTGCTTGGTACCCTCTTTGCACTGTCTGCACAGCAAGCATTCTTCCAAGCCATTCTCGTGGGCGGTATAACCCTCTCCTTTGGTGCAAGGGACACATCTTCCTCTCAAATGCGGAGCACTGCAGTGCTGAACAACGTAAGTACCTGTGGAAGAGGAGAACCAGCAGCAGTCTCAAGGGATCATTTAACAGGCAGAGGACTATAACAGGATGTTACAAGACAAAGCCATTTTGGTGAAAGTTCAACCTTTCTTCGCAAGCAAACGGCACGCCGCGTGATCAGAGCTGTGCAGCAGGGTGAGGAGGAGGCATGTTCGCAGCTTGCCGCTCAGACAGGGAGCGGTGGCAAGTGAGGCATCCAGACGGGCCTCGGCTGGGACAAGGATGACTCACTGCGGCAGCTCGGAGTCACACGTGTGGCCAGCGCCATCTCCTCTGAAGGGGCACGGCAAGCACAGGGAGAATTGCTTCTAACAGCCTCTCTTCTCCTTTGTCTGAATTATCTCTAAATACACCTGATAGCTCCCTGATACTGTCTAAGGGTAGGGTGCTTGGCACAAAGCTTGTTAACTCTACACACACTGAGCAAGGAGGGGAGAGCAAAGGCAAACCAAAGTTTTACCTACAGACACAGAAATACCAGAATTCCCCCAGGCCTGTTCTTTGTGCTAAAGTGTGGTGGTTGGTTTTTTGTGGGGTTTTTTTGTTGTTTGGTTGTTTTGGTTTTTTTAAACAAACAAACAAACCACCACCACACAACTTTGATCATCCTCAACAGCTGGCAGAGGCTTCCTGGCTTGCTACCAAGGCACCTCTCCCAGTCACCACCTATTGCGCAAGGCGGTCTCACTTCAAAATGGAGCCCGGCCTTAACAGCAGCAAGGAGCCACCTCAGCTCCAACCGGGCTTACACTTTCACCAGATGCAAGGTAAAAAACAAAACAAAAAAAACCCAGTAGTGACACAGTCATCTCCATGAGGAAAAAAATCATGGCTGTTATCAGCTGTAACTGCCTGAAGTCTTACCTGCTGGACAAGACACACAGCAGTGACCTTCATGTAGGTATTCTCCCTCCCCGCAGTCCTCTGCTCGGGTTGCAGGCATTATCAGCAGCGTAACCTACAGCAGAGAGAAACAGGTGTTTGAGCGATTCCTCCTCCCAGGACACGATAACCATCTCGGGGAGATGTTCCTGTAAAGACTTGAAAACACATTCAGAAGTTCATGGGAAGCCACAAAGGAAACCCAAACTAATTTCTGCTAAGTGTGCCGCTCACAGCCGTAATTACAATCACAAAGCTGGGGTTAGAGCAGAGCAGCGGTAATTACAATCACAAAGCTGGGGTTAGAGCAGCACCGTGCAGCGGCTGGCGGGTTTTAGGCAACTCCACTTTAAACGTTTATTTTCTTTTTACTAATTCCCTGCAACTGAACTTCAGAGGCCGAGGTTTCTGCCTTGTGCAAGGGATTCATTTCTCCCTCCTCCCGTCTTTTTAATTCAGGAGGGTCAGCGTTAGTCTTCCTCCAGCAAAACAGAGGAAACGCCCCAGAGACCTCAGCCAACATTTCTCGCTGTCTGTGTAATCTTAAGCAGGGAGCAAGCACTTGAGTCATTAACAAAAATAACTTACTGTAGCCACAGGAGCATTAGGATTTTTTTTTTTTTTTTTTTTTTAAAGAAACCTGCGGGACGCACACCCCTCAGCAAGCCTCCGGCGGAGGGGCCGCCTGGACCAGCCTCCCAGCCCCGGAGAGCCAGGTGCTTCCCAAAGGAAGCGAGCGGCGAGCACCACCGAGGTACAGCCCTCGCTGAGAGCACACACGCGAGAGAAAGCGGTAAAACGGGGGCAGGAGGGGGGGAAGGGACGGCCACGGAGCTCCCCGTCGCTAACTGCCATCAGCGGCCAATTTCTAAGCTGAAACCAAGAGTCCCCACTCCCCGGCTTTCGCAGCTCTGCTCTTTCAACTCTCTCCCCGGGAGGGCTGAAAGTCTTCCCCGTAATCGCGTAGTTAAGAAAACCACCAATTTCACAACTGGAGAGCGTGAGAACTGTTAGAGACCTCACTCCTGACTTGTAGTTTTCTTTTTTCCGAGGAGAGAAGGAAGGGCGGCAGCGACTGCGCTAGGGAGAGGCGCCACCTGTGTGTGTGTCGTGTCCCGTCCCGTCCCCCCGCACGCCGGGGCTGGGCTAACTGCACGGGAGCTGCGCTCCCTTACCCTGTTTAGACTTAGGAGAGCTGTATTCACTCAGGATTCTCGAAACTTCAAGCGACACGAAAAAATAAAAAAAGAGTTAGGGGAAGTTACTAAAGTTTCCTGAGGAAGAGGAGGGGAGAAAACCCCACGCGGCTCCTCCACACTGGACTTGGAGGAAGACTGCCCCCCCCCAACAGGAGGGATTTGGAGGCTGGCTGCGGCCAGGTGCCAGCTCCACTCGCGGCGAGCGGGCGGAGGACGTGCCCCTACCCACAAACAGCGGCTCCGGCCAGAGAGGTCCCGTCCCCCCGGCCCGGCCCGGCCCCGGCACTCACCAGCACCAGCCGCCCG